TGTGCGAGCGCGCACACACACTCCTCCGCAGTAAAATGAGACAACCCCCCCTCCCTCTCCCCCCCCTCCCCTCCTCTCTTTTGCTCTTCCCCTCCGTCCTCTAATCTCCCTCTCTAGAATGCTTCCCTGCGCTCCTCTGCAATCAATGCATCACTCAGACATTTAACCCCTTCCAGCACGGCCCGCCCGGGTCCCTGCGTGCAGGGGGGGGGGGTGCGTGCGCGTGGGATGATGCACGACCGGCTCTGCCTGCGTGATCAAATTCACACTCGGAGGGGAAGTCGGTGCGTGCTCAGACAAGTTAAGCGTGCGGATTTGGCTTCGCCATGTGCGAGAGACCGTTTTTTTTTCCCTTCTTTTTTTTTGATTTTTTTTTTTAACTGGAAGTGGAACTTAGCCTCTGAAGATCTCCCAGCTAATTAAATAATCTGCCACCGAGGCGTTCGGTTTCCATCGGCGTGATGGGAAAGAAAAAGGGAGAAGTCACCTGTTTCATGCCCCTTTGTTCACAAAACGCGCGTCATTATCAACCGCTAATTTGCTCTGCATATTAATACTTATCAGCCGCACACACAAGCCTGATTATCCAAGAGGTTTCTTTTTTTTTTTCTCTTTCTTTTTTTTTCCCCCTTCTGGAGGCCTGCATCATCGACAATTCTGGTGGGAAGCCGGAGAGCCGCAGGGGCAAAGCGAAGATGACTGCGATCCGGTGGAAAAAATGAGCTGGAGGAAGCTCATTTAGATCTGAGGCTGTTTTTGTGGAGCCAGTGACCCCGCTGAATAACCTCATGACTGAGCTACTTGTCAAACTAAACCCTAATTCACAATCCACTAGGGGTCAATGAAGGAAACCCCCCAAAACAGACCAAAATCTGTTCTTGGATTGGACTCTAGACCCTCCAAAAAAAAAGTCAGAGTAACCTCCATTGACTAACATGCTCTTTTTCACTAAGAAGCCAAAAAAGCAAAACAGAGAGAAATCTATAGGTCCTTTTAGACCCCTAACCTTAAACACGGTGCTGAATCATGGCCAGCCTCCCCTCCTCTGAGCAGTCTGCGCAAAAACTCCCCACGGCCACGGCTCATTGGCACCCGAGTGCGCGCTAATCCCCGCATTTGGCCTGCACTTTGAAAAAGTTGGTATTCCGGGAAGGATGTGCGCAAAGCCCGTAAAAAGCACACCGGATAGATCTGAAATGAGGCCATCCGCCTTAAGAGCCCACGCGCCGGTAGGTTACGGACCGTTCAGCCCTCTGGAGGCGGAGTGGAAACCCAATCAGAGCGAAGCAGGAAGTATGAAATTGGAGGGGGTCGGTATTGCTCCTATATGACGATTAGCGTGTTTTTTGGTTTGTTTATTTGTTTGTTTTTTAAATGTACATATTAAAGTTTGCCAACATTAAATTCATCCAATTTCCCTCAAAGTTTTGCTATCACAGACGCCGGCGGTCTCCAATTGGATGCCGCTATAATTCGAAGGGATGGGGGGAGATGGGGGTGTGGGGGGGATCATAAGTGATCCGACGGAAGCGAATAAATGACAGATTGCACCTTTATCCGAGCTTTCAATGGGCAGAGCCGAGGGGCCCCCCGAGCACCGAGCACGGGAGGGATGAAGACATCCGCAGAATCTCTCCTCATTACCATTTCAAATGCTCC